GAATTCCCATAATGCATTAGTGGATGTCGTTGTATTCGAGGGAGAAGATTTCGGGTTCGATCCCGACTCGTCATTTGTGTTATTTCCCTCAGTCATTTCTTGTCACCAATTTTTTTATCAGCTAGTTTTAAAGAAAACGCAATATCAATTTTTTTCAAATTCTCTGAATAAATGAAGTTATTTGCAAATTATATGATCAGCCCTCAGCCCGATTCAAATTCATTTGATCGAAGCTTTAAATGGCATTTATCTTAATATTATTGGATAGTTGCCAATTAGAAAATGAAAACTGTCAATAATTGCATTCGTACAACAGGTGAGCATATATCTTTGTGTAATAGCCCGGAACACTGGTCATGGATTTCGAACAGGTTTTTGTTAGAATGATCTAATCTTGTATGATTGTGACAGGGATTCATTTCGGAGATTTGAATGGTTAATTATTTTCACATCTTTTTAGTAACACATTGCGTCTTTGCTGAATTTGATTTAAGTTTCATAGGCCGTTTAGTTCCCTCCACAAACAATTATATCATAAGATAAGAACTTATGCTATTTACAAACTGATGGATAAACATATGTTTATACAAAATTTTAGCGATTATTTATTTATTTATTTCAAATGGCAGGCTTAATGATATTTATCATTAGCTTCCCCCAAGGGTGAGGGTACATTTATAGCAGTTAATCAACAGCAGTTCATTAGCTGTCGTCTTGCGTCCCAGTATCTCTGGCTTTCCGACGTTACCTATAGCGCTGCACATCGAATCAAGTGGGTCTCCACCATTTCCTCCTGTTGGTTACATAGGGGGGCATGTGGGTTGAGTGTATACTCTCAATCTGTGAAGGTGTTTTGCCAAGCAATCATGTCCGGTACGTAGTCGAAACTCAGCAACGGCTTCGATTCTTGGCCAGTCGGGTATGTCGGAGAGTGCAACTGTCCACTGTTTCTCCTTTCTTCGAGCTTTGAGTTCGTTGAACCTTGAGGTCTGGAATTCTCTCCTGATTAAGGCCTTCATTGTGTGGAAAGACATCGGCCGGTCCATGCATTGCGAAATCGTTGTTCACTTCTTAGCAAGTGTGTCAGCAAGCTCATTACCTTTAATGCCGCAGTGACCAGGAACCCATTGTAAGACCACTGTTTTGTTTTTCTCTCTCAGCAGCTCACAGAGATTTCTACATTCCTTTATCTCAGCTGTTTTGGGTGGCTCTCTGCTTCCAATTGAGTTTATTGCTGACTTTGAGTCCGAAAGATCACCGCTTTGGTGAATTTCGTATCCAGACAACAAATTGGCATAGTGCTATCTTAATGGCCTCTATTTCTCCTTCGAAAAATAGTGCTATCTTAATGGCCTCTATTTCTCCTTCGAAAACGGATCTATTATGTCCCGCTGCTGCATAGAAAGAGAAGAGTTTAGAATAGACACCTGCACCAACGTTTGCTTGGTTTTCTATGTATGACCCATCAGTAATGACTAGGGGCCATTGATGAGAAGAGTTCAGAATAGACACCTGCACCAACGTTTCCTTGGCTTTCCCAGTGAAGACTTGGAGCCATTGATCTGCAGGATAGTTGACCCATCTCCAGTATAGTTAACATTGATTGTCTCAAGGGCCAGTAAGTTTGCAGCCTCAACAGTGCAGACTTATATATGACCCGCAGTGAAGACTTGGAGCCATTGATCTGCAGGATAGTTGACCCATCTCCAGTATAGTTAACATTGATTGTCTCAAGGGCCAGTAAGTTTTGCAGCATTAGGGAAGACTTGGAGCCATTGACCTCCAGGACAGTTGACATTGATTGTCTCAAGGGCCAGTGAGCGCATTTGCTCTATAGGGGTGTTTGATTTCCTGAAGAAGTCAAGCAGTTTCGTCCAACACACTACATCACTGTCTGCTAATGGGTTCATGTGGAGAGAGTGGCTTTTTGGTTTGTCATCAATTTGTAATTATATCTTCAGTTCTATGGCTTTCTGTATTAGACCAGATTGCGTTTTCAGATGTCTTGGTCTATTCTCATAGGTGCGCAGTAGCTTCTCATACAAGATCAAGGCCTTTTCTTTGATAAGGGAACATATTGTGGTGCTCCCTGCAACTAGGAGCATTGCACCAATAGGTATTGATTTTATCCCTCCAGTAATTAGTCGTAATGCTTGGCTGTGTGCCTTCTCGAGTAGTTCGAGAGTCACCTCTGTGGCTGTAATGAGCGGCTCGCAGCCATACAACATTATTGGCTGAATTACCATCTTGTAAGTGGTGTTGAGAGTTGAGCGTGCACATCCCATATGCTACCATCAAGTCGCTTCAGTACATTCAGTCTATAGGAGACGCGTTCTGCTATTTAGCCATTTCCTCCTGTAGGTTACATAGAGGGCATGTGGGTTGAGTGTATACTCCCAATCTGTGAAGGTGTTTTGCCAAGCAATCGTGTCCGGAACATAGTCTAAACTCAGCAACGGATTCGATTCTTGGCCAGTCGGGTATGTCGGAGAGTGCCATTGTCCACTGTTTCTCCTTTGTTCGAGCTTTAAGTTCGTTGCACCTTGAGGTCTTGAATTCTCTTCTAATTAAGGCCTTCATTGTGTGGAAAGACTTCGGCCGGTCCATGCATTGCAAAATCGTTGTCCCCTTCTTAGCAAATGTGTCAGGAAGCTCATTGCCTTTAATGCCACAGTGACCAGGAATCCATTGTAGGACCACTGTTTTGTTTTTTCTCTCTCATCAGCTGACAGAGTTTTCTACATTCCTTTATCTCAGCTGTTTTGGGTGGCTTTCTGTTTCCAATTGAGTTTATTGCTGACTGTGAGTCCAAAAGGATTACTGCTTTGGTGGATTTCTTATTCGGGCAACATAATCGGCTTAGTGCTATCCTAATAGCCTCTATTTCTCCTTCGAAAGCGGATCTATTGTGTCATCATTGATTAAATTGAAAAGAAGCCAACATTGCTTCAATTTCTCACCTTTTCTTATTATAAAGAGCAGGATGTAAGATTATTTTGAATCCCCCATTTCCATATCCACCAGAGAGAGTGTGAATTATTTTTACAGACATCCATACATTTCACTTCGAAGAACTACATTTGATATATGGTTGGTAGTTGTCTTATCATTCAATGCAAACACATTTTGTTTGCCGAATACGCGATAAGTGGTCTACGTTTGATTCACTGGGTGGATAGTCCCGATTTTATTGCAATCTGGGGGGGGGGCATTAATCATGAAACTGTTAAGTCTGCTTGAGTGGAAATTGAGTTCATTTGCTGTCTATTTGTTCACAAGGGTTTGCATTGTTAACTGAGGGAGTTTAAATGCAACTCTTCGTATAATTGTTAGTGGAATTATTAAAAATGTTAGAAGATATCTCTTCTAAAAGGAACTGTATCTATTCGACCATTCAAAAAATCTAAATTTCATGTCATCAGCGAAATTTATTTGATATAAAGTTTTTTTGTATTTCTTTTGAAAAAAAAACCTGCTTTCACATTTTAATGAAGCATTTACATTTTATCCAATTTATTTTTGTCAAATCACAGGCTTTGAAATGTTCGTGTAACGCAGTTTTTTGCTAATTAGTGAGCATTCATCTCTCTCATTGGCAATCGGGCAATTTTCCCAAGGTTTTTAAAACCTATGTGACTACAATTTTAGTATAATTAGTCATTTTGAGCCAGTGTATGTGAGATAATGATGGCGCGCGCAAATTATAAATGCCTCAAACATCCTGACTCTATGTTTTGGTAACAAAGATCGTATTAGTTTTATTTTAATGTTTTGCACTAGCGTTTAGAACGTATTGTTTTCCGAACCAATTATTAAAAGAAGTCCTCATTTATCTTTTGGTACAACTTTGGTGAATTCATTTTTTTTCAATATTTGTCTCTACCGGTGTATAGTTGGCATTCGAAACCCCGCCAAGTAACCCCTGTGAGGTAATAACTTTGAACAGTTTAGATACTTTGATTTAGAGTGAACGAAAATCATTATCTGTTACAAAAAATGACTTCTTCAACCTCGTCATTCCTCTGGGAAGGATCATATCTACTTGGTCTTCTGTATGTTAGCTATTTCTCATTTTATGAACTTTGTGGCATTGTCAATTACTATGCTGTTCTTAGGAGTATATTTATTTATACCAAATGGCAGGCGTTTTGATAATTATCATTAGCCCTTTAGTTGACTCCCGGCTTCACAGAGGGGAAGGAACATCAAAGTGAAAAAAGTCGAGAGGGGGAGTAGAAGAGATATTCAAAGATGTAAAAGAGATAGACACAAAGGTAGACAAAAAGGTGAGGTGAGTACTGTGGAAGTGATCGAATATGACACGGTGGGGTGATGGTAGCTTGAGGTCAGAAGTCAACTACTGGTTAATGGACCTTTTTGCCGTAT